AGTGCAAGACCAAATTTCTCCACTAGGGGATACCTCAACTCGGCATTTTTCAGTACGTGACTGACAAAGTAGACCGGGAGCTGACAGCCGTCCCTTTCAGCAAGGAGAACAGCGCTTAACGCATGATCAGAGACGGCCAGGTACATGTAGAGAACCTCTTTGGGCAAAGGGCTGACCAGCCTCGGCAAGGAATGCAAGTGAACTTTTAATTTCTGGAAGGCGGCCTCGGCATCCGGCCCCCATTCAAACCTTGCCTTTTTCTTAATTGCCTGGAAAAAGTATAGGCATTTGTCGCCTGATCGGCTTAGAAATCTTCCCAAGGCCGCCAGACAACCTGTTAACTTCTGAACCTCTCTGATGGTACGAGGCGACTGCATGTCAATGACCGCCTGCACCTTCTCAGGGTTCGCCTCTATTCCTCTCTGATTGATAAGGAATCCGAGAAATTTCCCAGACTCAACTCCAAATACACATTTCTTGGGATTGAGCATGACATGGTGCCGCCTGAGTGTGGCGAAAGTTTCTCGGAGGTCCGACAGATGATCTTTCTGAAGTTTAGTCTTGACAATCATATCATCAATATATGCCTCGACGTTTCTCCCAATCTGATCAAAGAACACTGTGTTTATCATTCGTTGGAAGGTAGCCGGGGCATTCTTAAGACCAAACGGCATGACCGTGTAACAGTATAACCCCTGATCAGTGACGAAGGCCGTCTTCTCCTGATCTTTCTTCCATAAGGGAATTTGATGGAAACCAGAATAGGCGTCCATGAAACTCATCAAGGCATGGCCGGCTGTTGAGTCGACCAGGTTATCAATTTTAGGCAGAGGGTAACTGTCTTTGGGGCACGCCTTGTTTAAGTCTGTGTAGTCTACACACATTCGCCAGGTGCCATTCGGCTTTTTAACAAGCACCACATTTGCAACCCAGTCTGGGAAGTAACATTGCCGAATGAACCCTGCATCAAGTAATTTTTTCACTTCGGCGGCTGCCGCCTGACTTCTTTCTTCGCCATGGTTCCGCTTCTTTTGTCGTACCGGCTTCTTTTTCGGATCCACGGCGAGTTTATGTACCGCCAGATCAGGACTAATGCCTGGCATTTCATGGACTTCAAATGCAAAGATGTCCTTGTATTCTTTCAATAGGTTGTGAAAGTCGTCACCAAGGTTTCTCAGAGCAGTCGTCCCAACTTTGACTGTTCGGTCAGGACGTGAGTCGTCTAAGATCAGGTCCCCATGCTCACCAGCCGGCTGAGGGCGGAACTCATCCGGCCGCTCCTCTGCCAATGATTGCTATTTCCTTGCTTTTCTTGCGGACTCTGTCTGGGACGCCTTTCTCTTTTTGCCGCCTGCTTCTTGAACAGGCGCACTCTCCTTGACATTGTCAAGGTCTGTTTTTTCACCACTTGACCCAGTGGCCATAACAGTGGGCTTGACATCCGAGAGATAGCACTCTCGGGCCATCCTCTGATCTCCCCTAAGGGAGCCGACTGTTCCATTATCCCTCTCAAACTTGAGCAACATAAGAGACGAGATTATAACAGCCTTGGAATTATTCAGGGTTGGTCGACCCAGAATCATGTTGTAGGCCGAGAGTTCCTCTACTACTAGGAACCGGACTACCATGTGTCGTCCTTCCCCTTTTTCGCCCAGGCGAATGGGTAAATCTACTCGTCCCAGTGGGTGGACGACTCCTCCTCCAAACCCTATTAAAGGGTGGGAGGCCGGATGTAGGCAGTCAGTCTGATATTTCAGTTTCGACAGACATTTGCTGCTGATGAGATCTGAGGAGCTCCCGGTATCTATGAGGATTCGGCCAACTCTCTGGTTGGCCACTTTACATTCAATAACGAGAGGGTCGTCATGCGGCCCCCTTATCCCTCCTAGATCCTCTTCAGTGATGACAATCTCAGGAAATGTATATTTGGACGACCGTTCTTGGTGAACGGAATTTACATCTAACCGCCTTATATTATCTTTGTTGCCCCTAATAGTGGGGCCGCCTCCTGAGAAGCCGCCTGCAATGGTGTAGACGACTGCATCATCTGTATCGGAGCTGTCGGCCTGTTGATTCTTTTTGGCCGACAACTTTTTTGAGGAAGTGTTCCCCGTAGACTTCTTGACATAAGTGTCAAGATCACCTTGCTCAGCCAGGCGGTCTAGGTACCGCATAAGACTGATGCAGTCATTGGTGTGATGACCAACGTCATCATGATAAGCACAGATTTTATCTTGGTTCCGGTTGTTTGCAGAACCCTTCATGGGGACCGGCTTCTCAATTGAGATCCGTCCCTTGATTTCTTTTAGGATAAACTGGTTATCCTTGTTAAACTCATACTTTGGGGAGTATGGTTTGAATTCTTTTTTCTTTTTCTGGGCCGACTGTTTAGAGGAATCAGCCGCCCAGACCTCTTTTCTTTTCTCATCTTTGTTTGACGACTGTTTCTGTCGTCTTTCTCTTTTGTCGAACCTTTTCCCGTCCGACTGTTTTATCGTACACAGATCAGTCGCCTGTATATAGGATTCTGCTTCAATCAAGGCCTCTTGAAGAGTCGCCACCCTTTTTCGAACCAAATCAAATTTGAAGGTAGACCCGTCTTTGAGACCTCTAAAAAAGTCGGTATAAGCTACCTCATCCGGTAACCCTTGAATCTGTATTCTCATCAGGTTAAACCGCCTGATGTAAGAACGAAGCCCCTCCTTCTCGCCCTGCTGAATTGTTCCCAAATCAAGGGTCGTTTTCTTCGCAGGGATGTTCATGGCGAAGTTGGAGGCAAATAAGTAAGCAAGCGTCCTGAAGCTATTTACACAACCAGTCGGCAGGTTGCCGAACCATTGCTGTGCGATTCCTTTGAGAGTCGCTGGGAAACACTTGCACCAAGTGGGATCATCCAACCCTTGAAGGTACATTAGGTTGGTGAATGCCATCAGATGGTCTTCTGGGTTAGTAGTGCCGTCATAGGCGCCTACTAGTACATTTTTCACTTTGGCCGGCTGAGCGGCTTCAGTAATTTCCTTGGAGAAGGCCGACGGCTGTTCACCAAGTCTAAGCAACCGTAGCTGCCAGTCCATAGGTTGGACGTTTTTTGCTGTAGGTCCACCAAATGGAGGTGGCTGCATAAAATACTGTTGTTGCGGCACAAATGGTAAGTTTGGTACCGCCTGGGCACTATGAAAGCCGGACTGAAGGGAGGTGCCGCCTGACTGACTCTCATGGTACGACTGAGTATGCCTCATCGAGGCATTTCGCAAACTGTCTTGAAAGTTTGAAGTAGAAGCCGACTCTGACAATCGGTCACTCTTCTTCTGCTCTAGCAGTAGCCGAGCATCTGTGAATGTTTGCTTTGACCCGTCCGCCTGAATATGACGAACCGGTTTCCTATTTCCTGTAGGATAACGGAATTTTGTGAAATCAAGGGCAGGTGGCTCCCGCTTCCTAGATTTAGGATGAGGAGTCGCCTCTCGCCCTTGAACTGGCTTCCTCTTCAGTGAAGTGGAGGGTTTCTTGGCCGACTGCTCCTTGACTGAAGCAGGCGGCTTCTTGTTGATCAACTCTTGAATCTCTCCCTTGAAGTCCCTCATGAAGGTCATGAGTTCGTTCCTTGTGATGGGAGCAGACCCATCAGTCGGCTGTTGCCGAGCAGGCGGTGCGCCTGCTGGCTCGCTTCCTGTTTGAAGATGCTCCCGTTCCCTCCTTTCGGTATGACGGGTACGTCGGGCCCTTAGGGTCCCGTCTGAAGCCGTATGAGTTTCAACTTCAAATTCACTTTCGGTGTCATGGTCTGACTGAACGTGAGGGTCGTTTAGGGGACGCCTCTCTTCAGGAGTCGGTACAGACTTGGATGCCATCTCTGAAGTACTCTCCCCACAGACGGCGCCAAATGTTTCGGGGTTTTCTGATGTCCTGCGGGAGAGTTACAATTCCGAGACTGGAACCGGACGCCTGTACCTGCAAAATAACGGAGACTCCTGGGAGCTCCGCCTTCAACGGTCAAGTTAGTACCTGATTAAGGAGTAATTAATGCGGAAATTAAAGTAATAAGGTCTCTCTAGGTGAGAGTGTTTAATGTTGGTAATCTGCTTTGTTAGCGAGATCAGCCGGTTATTAGTGTGTTCCGTAACGTTTCTGTTCTGTTCCTCTCCTTAATGAGGATTAAGGGAGGTATTTATAACCTTGGGAAACGTGCCCATCCTAGGTTTAGGTAAACCTAGGGCCGATTGGGCTTCCATCGAAAGTTGGGCCTGGGTGGCCGGTTTTCCCATTTGGCATGGGTGGACACGTGGCGTGTCTCAATTGGTCCGTAGAGGACGTATCTGTGATTGACACGTGGCAGGCTCCTATTGGCCTACGTGAAGGACACGTGGCGGAACCTGGTTGGTCCACTTGTCAGACGGTGATTGGTGGATAAAAATCCCCTGATCAATATGAACGACCTGTGTATTAATTGAGTTGGTTTCAATAATGATTTATTACTAAATTAATCTCTTGCGATGCACGATTTTGACAACTAAATTTGTTATATTGTCACGCTTACAAAGTTATTAGACTAAATTTGGATATTACTTAATCAACTAAAAAAATATAAAATAAAGTGATGACATCACATATATATTTTAGGCGGGAAAATTTTCTACCGCAGCTTGACATATGTACAATTAGGAGAAGGGATGATGTCAGCGGTTATTATTTTAGTAATAGTTATAGATATTATAATTAATTTTTTTTACTTGCTCTTAATCTTAAAAACAAAGATCATAATCAAATCCTAATTATAAAGAAGCAACTAATCACAGTTAATAATTATGAATAAGTGAACAACTTTTATTAATAAGTATAATCATACTAAATATATCATTGTTTCGTTTCTTTGCATTCACCAAAAAAAAAACACTCCATATTATAAATGAGTTTATCCACGAACATAAATAAACCGACATTATATTCAAACTCGTTTATTTCAAAATTAAACATCCATTCAAACTCGGCTAATTCATTTAACAAACTAACATAAACGAGCTTTACCCAACCTCAAATTCGAGTTGTTTATTGAAATCTCAAGTTCTTGAGTCATTTACACCCCTCGTCCCCCATAGGAAGATCATATTATGTTTGTCAAGAATGAACTGATATCATTGATTGTTGGGGATCATTCAATGTGCGGCAGACGTGCCCAACTACCTAGTCTTCTACTACCCTGATCAAAGAAGAGGAGAGAGAAACCAAAGTTCATATCTTTGAGGTCAACTGATGGCTTTTGGGATATTAACACACTGGGTCTCTCTCCTCTTTCTGGGTTTTGCTCTTACTCTTTTCTACATCTACCCATCTCTATCTTCTCAACAATCAGCTGAAGAATTACCCAATTCTCTCTATGATTTCACTGTCAAGGTAATCATCAATTATCAAATCTAATTAATTTGAACTTTGGGTTCATTTTTTTTTTTTTTGCTAATTATTACTAACTACAATCATGATTTGTCCCCTTTTTATGTTTATGCTGTAAGTGTGTGAATTGTAGTGCTGATGTTTAAAATCCCAACTGGTTTTAAGGTTTTTGATTAAGTGTATGTTTCATACTTAGTATTTGTTTAAGTTCAAATTTTGGGTCTAAAAGAATTGTTTGTTAATTTGACATTATTTGTTGTGTTTGATTGCATAATGGTAGTTGTGAACTTGTGATTATTGTAACTTGGGGTGTATTGCTCTTATGGATGAAAATAATCGTATATATTAGATGTCAACCGGCATTATGGTTGTGTTTTGAGGATGATTGTTTGATATTATGTCATATAAAGAACTATCTAATTTTGTTGCCTTGATCATTTGATTTTGATGCCGCGTTTGGTGAGACGAAAGTATAACATTATAAATTGATGTTGATCTTTGGGATGAACCTTTGTACCCGGATTGTGATGGAAAAGTTCCTTCTTGAATAATATGAAATATTCAAAAACAACCGAGTTAGATTTCACTATTTCTACTGTATGCGGATGTATCTTGTCCAAAGTTTGAAACTAGTGTATTATTATTGACGTTGATTTGTTGGTTCAATCTTTGTGGAATAATAGGATATCAATGGTAAAAATGTGAGTTTGAGTACTTACAAGGGGAAGGTTCTTCTGATCGTCAATGTTGCTTCCCAATGGTATTATATACAATCCTCTATATCCTTCCTATTCTCTATTGTTGTGCTGTTGAATGTGTGTTTCTCTGAACTCTTATATGCATCATTTTTCATCAGTTATCAAAGATCATCCTTAGTGATGTTGCTATAGGCACTATCACTTTCACAAAAAGTGGTGAAATATCTTTGTTGAATAGTAGTTTTATGCTGTATAGAAAAGTGGAAGCCTGTTACAGATTCACAAGAACTACCCAGCAGAGATCATCTGACAGGAATCCACAGTACTTTGGGCTTGGGATATGAACCATAATGGGCGGCAAGTGCAATGGACACTTCTCTAAGTCCTGTCTGATATCTTTGTCCAAGTTCATCTAGCTTTACCACGTACCTTTTCTCCTCTTGAAATTCCGTAGAACTATCTATGCAGACTTGCCTGCCCATTGATCATCTTGATGACACATTTTGCGACCCACTAACAAGTGTTTATACTTCTCCTAGAAATTTGGAAAAAGTGATTTGGATTTTAATTTGACAGTTGTCAGATTTTATCATTTGATTGTATAGCCATCTTATTAAATCATCCTTCTGGGAAACAGTACAGAGATAAAGGAGTATCATTTATCATTTGTTGTCTTCCAACTTTGGCTCTCAGAACGGCATGGTCAATCCAAAAAACAAAAAAGTAGATCATACTCCGTATATGTTTATTACAAATCCTTGAGTTGCTTAAATATGGGATGCGTAAGTGAAAGTATTTTGCATATTTCATTACCAAACCATTTCTCTCAAGTGAAGAGGACAGAAGAGATTAGTAAACTATGAAATGCTTTCTCTCTATTAGGTACATTTGCATGTTCAAACTAATTGCTTATGTTTAGACCATTCCAAATTGGTATGAATTCACATACTTCTCAAAAACCAGGAATTTAGTGCTAGGAACCATTGAATCAATCTACAGCGGTAAAATTATTGGGTAAGTGCATAAGTATGAAACGTGAGATGAGACCCAATTTAAGCTGACGAGGTGCCAATTGCTTTGCCTATAATATATCTTGGTCAAGGCTGAACTCTTTTTCTATGGGAACAATCAAAAGAATCCCACTTTATCAAGTCTAGCTTAAAGTTACTTTGTTAGAAACTAGGAATTGTGAGGTTCAAAAACAGTTGTGGTTTGATGTGCATAATGTAATAATGTCTTTTTTGTTTTTTTGTAAAGCTGTTAATTGCGGAGGGAAACTACCAATCTTTATGGAGCATAAGTTAAGCAATGTATGTACATTGCTTTAGTCTTATAAAGCCAAGTGTGAGACGTGTTAATGCTCTATGAGATATTAATTCGGGCTAAAGTAAGGGTGTTATACTGAAGTGTTATGTGATACAATTCAATTAACAATTTCAATAGATATTGAATGTGGTCTTGAGATTCTCATTGATTCACAAACTAGCATGGAAGGATGGAAAAGTAAAATGTTGTGAGTAAGAAAGGTTTGGTGCATTGAGAAACAAGATAAAACCCTTGATTAGTTGATTAATGGCACACTGAAAACCTTGCAATCACAAATTTGATCTGGCTTTGCGAGCTAAACTGTAACTCTTATGTTGTACAGGCGTTCAACTAATTGTATTGAAATGGTTAGATCTTCTGGATATAGAAAATTAGCAGTGTATTTCTTTCCTCATTAAATGGATGTGATCACCCGTTTTTAGGAGATTCTACCAAGAGCTAAGGCTCCCAAACGAGTCATCTGTTATGAGAGAGACCTAATTGCAAGCAAGTTGCGCAGTAATTGCATTAGGAACAGGCGCAGCACAACATACCACCTGGTTCGTTGCTTCCATTCCAGTGCCATTTCTAACGTTGGAAAAGTGCTCTTGTAGGAAGTACAATTTTGGCTAAATCCTCTTGATCCTCATGGGTCAGCTCAACATGACAAAATTTAGTCTTTTGATTAGAGTGCTAAGACTGCTAACTATGATGTTGCCACATGTGAATACTTCAGTTTTTTTCTTTTTTTTTTTTTTCCCTCTCACTCAGTCCTTTCCTTTTGGAATTTTGCTTATATGAGATCTTTGTTTTCATGTGCAGTGGTTTAACAAAGTCAAACTATCAGGAATTGAACATTTTGTATAAGAAGTACAAGGACCAAGGTTTGTTTTCTCTTCAACAATTTTGAAAAGTTTGCTTGCAGCGTCTAATTAGTTAAGTTGTATGTTGATGTGGCTGTCATCTTTGTGATAGGCTTTGAAATTTTAGCCTTCCCATGTAATCAGTTTGGATGGCAAGAACCAGGAAGTAATGAAGAAATCAATGAAGCTGTCTGCTCTTCTTTTAAAGCAGAATTCCCTTTATTTCAGAAGGTAATATATCTCACATAGTCAGAAAGCATAAAATGAGAACTTACTAGTCATTTAGTGAATAATGTAACGCTGATGTAAAAAGATAAACTTAGATATTTTTAAATCATATTATACTTTCCTTATATCTATTAATTAGATCTTACACTTCTCTCTCTAACCCCCATTTCTTAAGTTTTAAGGTTTTTTTTATTTTTTTATTTTTTTATCACTACAATCTGACATTTTACCTGTTTTTTTTTCCTCTCTTTTTTTGGCAGCTTTTATTTACTTTTGTTTAACTAATGTATCATGTATGGATTGGAACCAGTCTAACCATCTTTTACAAGAATTTGCTTCTAGTGAATATATTGAAATTTATTAGATTAAGGATATATATTTTTGATTTTTTGCATAGGAGGTTCTCAGATTTAATGATGATGCCATACTTCTTCTCATCTTGTTTTAGTTGTTTGTTTCTTTATTTTCTGCCGTATGTTTAAATGCATCTAAAATTAGTTACAGTTGAAAGATAGACTTGTTTTTCAATCTAAGATGGGTCTTTACTCAAGATTACTAGAACGAAAATTGCTGCTAAGGTGTAACAATGCCTGCTGAGACTTCATGCTATAGCTCAAGTATTATATGCTGATAAAAAATATAAAAACTATCATATAAAAAGCTTTCGCCGCTCCTATAATGGTAAATTAACTTCATTAATGCCCTCTGGGTGATCTGGAAACTATAAAAAAAGAAACATGTAAATAATTATCTCCAAGCCCTAGATAAGCACTTGATGCAGAATTTTGTCCTCCGTTTGATCTCGTTTACTCTTGTAGAGTAGAAACTCATTGCTTAGTTCCCATCCTCCCCTACTCCTTAAGGGTTTAAGTTGCGTTTAATTTTGCAATCTTTTGAATCTTTACAACTTCATGGAGTATATACAACTTACAAGATGCTTATGTGAACTCCACAGATAGATGTCAATGGGAAGAATGCAGCACCACTTTACAAGTTTTTAAAATCAAAGAAGTCCGGAGTAATAGTAGATGAGATCAAATGGAACTTTGCAAAATTTTTGGTGGACAGGCAAGGAAGCGTTGTTGAGAGATATGCTCCTGTGACCTCCCCCCTACAAATTGAGGTTCGATTCAGTACTTTCTTTAAGTGTTTTGATGTTAGAAGTCCTTCCAAAAGTACCATGTTTTTGTTTTGTCTGATTTCTGTTTCCCCCTCTAAATTTTCTGTTGCAGAGTGAGATTCAAAACCTCCTGGGATCCTCTTAGTGGTTGTATCATCAGGCATATAGCGTTCGAAACTTGGCTTTGACTACCATTGTGCAGGTTATTACAAGTTATGAATTTCATCTATATGTCACGTTGTAAAGGAATACAGTAGGACTATAATTTTCAAAATTAGTACTCACTCATACCCTGAGCTTCTATGATACATCCCTAGACTAGGCTATGATTTTTAAGTGATGACATATTCTGTCTTGTAGTTTGTCAAAGTTTTCATGCTAAAATTTGTCGATTGAGTAAAATATACGAGCTCCTATGTTTTGTAGAAAGTAGCATTTTCAAAGTTGTTATTGTACTAGAGGTCTTATTATTGTCAATGCAGCCTGCCTCTTAAATCTAAATCCTAGGTCCTAAATATCAGAAATTCCAACATCATTTACCATCGGTTGCTGTTCGTTATATCTTTGAATTCTTATATGCACTAGTCTCATCAGCTTTTGAAAGAACCCTGGTAATGTTTCTGTAGATACTATAACATTCATAAAGAAGTGATAGTATGTAATTCATGTTGCTTAGAAAAAGTTGAAAGTAGTTACCGGATGAATTATAGTAGGTCTATGCCACTTATACAAGTACTTCGTTATAAGCTGGAGTAGTAAAGAGGAGGTTCTAGACTTCTAGGAGACCAAAAAAGAAATTTTCGATCAAATTCAGAAGTGGTACAGGCGGAGAGATCAGTACTTAAGAATGTGAAGTGGCCTAACAAGTTAATACCTAGACATTGTAACGAGAAATTGCTGTTTCTCTTGGACTCTTGGTCCATATGCTATCTGCTGCTGCGTTGCTAACTACAGGTCTGGTTTTAAATAGATCGATTGAATCCTCCACAGGCAGATTGGCCTATGTTGTTGATGGGAGATAGGTACTTTATTACCCCCCCCCCTCTCTTATAATTGTCATATGCTAGTCTGTTACAACAGCGTGATATAATTTGTCTGCAACTCAGGATGAAGCATAAGCCATGGCATACTTCAGAAGCTCAGATTATCAATAGCGAACCAAACCAATGATTCAAAATTTTGGTTTTGACGAAGTTAGTCGAGTAATAATATCATTCCATTGGCAAAATTAAATCAACTGAGGTGTGAGCTTCCCTCGATCTAGGCCGGCCTCTTAGCTTATGAGCACAAAAATGAAGAAAGTCCCAACCAGAGTACATGGTTCAACCAAATGTAAATATGTTCTACACTATAAACATTACTCGTAGTACATCTGCTGTTTAAAATTAAAACTCTAAAAAATTAATAATTAATAATATGGTCCTACCGAGATTTGAACTAGGGTTACTGGATTCAGAGTCCAATGTCCTGACCACTAGACCATAGGACCTTTAGTTGTGACTAGTAGTAAATTTAATTAATATTCCTTTGTAATCCTTAGTTGCCGTAACACTAAAAGTTCTTTAATTCTACGAAGTACTTCCTATATTAACTTATTAAGCATTTCTATGTTGATATGAGTATGCTATTATGAAATTTTTTTTATATGGTAGTTGATTTATTTTATCATCAATACCTTTTTTAGTATATGGTAGGTAGTGGGTTCAAATCCCTCAACATACAAGAACCAAAATCTTCTTGAAATGGATACTCTGTATATTTTTAGTGTCATAATATATAATTATACGCCTATACGGAGTTGTTCAACCTAACAAAAGATTCAACACAAAAATAGTAATCATAGAATTACAGTATATATTAATGTTATTATTGTCCAAATTATGAATTATGACATCTTGTGAAGTAAGGAAAAAAAAAATGAAAATGTCAGGGGGCTCTTTTTTCCATAGAGAAACCAATTTTACAACTTGTGTATTTCCTTTCTTGTAAAAAAAAAAAACGTTGTATTTTTCGTTGTTTTAATTTCTTTTACTTGTAACGCAGGTTTATGATACACATTTTGAGAAAGAAATTATTATCTCCGTTTTATGTCAAATCGTTGCAAATAATATAAAACGGAGATAGGTGTTGATACATAAAGTTATTCCATCCTTTATTTAGTTTAATCATCTCCTAAATATATGTGCTTTGATATTGTATAATTTTTGCTGCAAGTTAAAAAAAACGAAGGAACTATAGTTTTTCAATAATTATTTTCTTTGTGTTAAAATTATTTTGATAAACTTATTTGTTTATTTTCTACCTCCTAAAAATACGTGCTTAATAATGTGATGTTGCAAGCAAATGAAGTAGTTCCAGTTTGCCCAAGCTCGTACTCTGCGGACAGAGCGATGAAGTTGAAGGCTGAAAATCCTTGGTGTGCTGTTAGTTTCTGTTCTTAATTTCTGCTGCAATAATTTGATACCCATAAACCTATATTCAAACTTATAAAAACCGAAACCTCTTTGTAGTTTGTACGTCTCATTATTAAAACTAATTAACAAAAGAGAGAAAAATGGACGAGGCACCATTATTGGTGAACCGTGGCGGCGATGAGAGGCCGGAGGTGGAAAACGGGGATTACACGGCCGTGCAAAGCATAAGCGAGGCGGCAACGGTGTTATGGATAGAAACGGTGAAGTTATGGAAGATAGCAACACCGTTAGTGTTTAACATTGTATGTTTATACGCTACAAATTCACTTACAAACATATTTGTAGGACATCTTGGAGAACTTGAACTTCCTGCTATCTCTATTTCGGTCTCCGTCATTAACACCTTCGCATTCGGCTTCTTTCTCTCAATTCCTTCGTTAGTTAGTTGGTTAATTATTGTTTTCGTAGTATGATTAATGATAATGATTAGTTTAAGAGTGATCATATAAAAATATAAATAGTTTTTTTTTTTTTTTTTTTTTTTTTTTTTTTTTTTTTTTTTAGGGAATGTCAGCACAAATAGTGGCATGTTAAATGGCTAACGTGCGTTCAAAGATTTGATTTTGATTTGCCGTATTAGACTGCCCAATTGACCTTATTTATATTCCTTTTATTTCGAAATAATCACTTGCTTAAATATAGGATATTAAAATTTTCAGTATAATTTTTAATGACTATACTGAAATAGTCATTATATTTCGATGTCTATTTTGGACGAGTGCAACCCTTTTGGTCACCTTTTAAATTTACTGAAATAGGATTTTTTTTTCAAAAAAAAATTATACTCGCACTTCATATATAGGTGATAGGTGAAAGAAATTCCCTAAAACTTTGGTCACCTATAGTCATTAATAGCTTTATGCCTTCATTAGAAGATACGAGTAATTAAAGAGTGTTTTAAGGATAGTTAATTGTTATTACTTGTATGTCTTTTCATTATAACAAAAATGAATATTGAGCATTGACACCGTCGGTGCAAGAATAATCTTCTAGCCAACCAGCTCTCACATAAACAATTAGTCAATAAGCAAGTTCATCAGTATATCTGATTGGACAAAGTTTTAAATAAGTTAATTACATATGATCAAGAAAATTAATTAAAGTATTTAAGAGTACATTTACATGAATGTACTAAAATGCTTTGAGTTTCTCATAAATTTTGAATAAGTGAATAAAATAATAATTAGAGAGTATTTGTTAAGAGCAGGTTGGCTAGAAGAATTTTGATCATAAACAATTATTCATTAATTCAAAACTTGAGTACACTGTTGAATACAAAGTTTTGAGTAAGTGAATAACATAACATTAACATCTGAAGAGTATAATTTGTTAAGAGTATATTTGATTTACATGAATGTACTAAAATGCTTGAGTTGTTACCTTAAACGATATCAAAATTATTTGGTGCACTGGTTGTTACAATCATTAAGTGCTAAAAGAGTGTATTACTTGTTCTTGAGGTTCTTCCTTGACTTGTCAGCAGCACAAAAAGTGGAAGCATGAATTTTCTAAGATTTAAGTGGGATCAAATTTTGTTGTTCAATATTGTAGCTTGGTATGGGAAGTGCGCTTGAGACATTATGTGGACAAGCTTTTGGTGCCGGGCAAGTTCATATGCTTGGAGTCTATATGCAACGATCTTGGATCATACTATTGCTAAGCTGTCTTGTACTCATGCCGATATACATCTTTGCTGCACCATTGTTAAAGCTTCTAGGACAGGACCATGATGTAGCCAACCTTGCAGGAAAGTTTGCCATCCTTACCATACCCTCACTATTCTCATTGGCTATCAATTTTCCTACTCAGAAGTTCCTCCAAGCCCAAAGCAAGGTTGATGTTATGGCTTGGATCGGACTTATTGTTCTAATTGAACACGCTGTGCTTCTCTGGTTATTCATTCCTGTATTAGGCTGGGGTCTGCAAGGAGCTGCAGCAGCTTACAACATTGCAAGATGGGTGACTGCAATTTGCCAAGTTGTTTATGCATTTGGTTGGTGCCGGGATGCTTGGACAGGGTTCACTTGGGCAGCATTCAAGGATATATGGGCCTTTGTTCGTCTTTCAATTGCCTCTGCTGTGATGCTTTGCCTTGAAATTTGGTACATGATGAGCATAATGCTTCTAGCTGGTCACCTTCCTAATGCTGTGATTACTGTAGGTTCTCTTTCTATATGGTGAGTTTCCGATCCTCTCTGAGCTATGACTTGTATGAATATTGTCTATTTGCATGCATATCATCATTTGATTGTTGAGAAGATGAACAATTGTGGTATACCTGATCTTTCTTGATAAATGTTCACTGAAATATTATGCTTGATAACAAGCTGTTATTTTTCTGCAAACAAAGTCGCTTATAAAATTCTCTTATCTTTGTTTCAGCATGAATGTAAATGGACTACAATTTATGATATTCATCGCAATGAATGCTGCTGTAAGGTAAATACATACTCATCAATATTCTTACTATGTTAGACATTGATCTCTTCAGATCAGTTCATGTGTTCTAGGAGTTTGGAGGCTATAAGTGGCTATGGTAGATTATTCTGTCAGTTCTGAAGTAATTTTGTTACTATCAGTGTTCGTGTATCAAATGAACTGGGATTGCAGCATCCAAGGGCAACCAAATACGGTGTTTACGTTGCAGTCTTCCAGTCTCTCATCATTGGGCTTTTGTGCATGGTCCTTATCCCCGTCTCAAGAGACTATTTTTCGATTATTTACACAGACAGCAAGGAATTGCAGCAAGCTGTTTCTAAATTAGCCTGGCTTCTTGGTGTGACAATGGTTCTTAACAGTATTCAGCCTGTCATTTCAGGTATATGACTTGTGTGTAATTTTTCTCATGTATTTTTGATTTTGACTTTTCCTTATTTCCTCTGACAACGTGCAACTAATCAATGGCCTCTTGAACAAACACCCGTACGTAACTACTTCCGAATTTAATATATTTTCTTATCGTACTTGTAGGAGTTGCTGTTGGAGGAGGGTGGCAAGCCACAGTGGCTAATGTAAACTTGGCTTGCTATTATGTTTTCGGGCTACCTCTTGGATACCTTCTTGGCTATGTAGCAGACTTTGGAGTGATGGTACTGGATAATATATGTATTCCTTTACATATGCGCTTTAGACTATATTTCTTCATTAGCAAACACAGTTTCTGAAATACAATTTTATCAATTATAGGGCATTTGGGGTGGCATGATAGCTGGAACCGTCTTGCAGACACTCATTCTACTCTTCATCCTTTACAGAACAAATTGGACTAAAGAGGTGAGCATGACAGAGCTATGTTCTTCAGACTTGGCTATTAGTAAAACTATCGAGTACATTAATACTTGATATGATTATATGAATTGAATAGATTTCGAACGTACACTTCTTGAGTATGCTGTAATACACATTTTAAAAAGTTTACTTTGAACAAAACTCCACCTTAAATTATGTAAAAGCATTTTTGAAAGGGTGGTAGTTGCTATTGTCATAAACTTGCAAGAGACATGATTGAGCTACCTCCTGAATGATATGCAGGTGGAGGAATCAAGCAGCCGCACGCAGAAGTGGGGTAGACAGAACATCAGCACACATAAAAGGTGGGCGACGACATATGAATGACTTACTGCAGGTGATGCACTGATGCAGAGTTTCTGCTCCTGCATCACTTGAGCTTCATTTAGTAACAGAAGATTAATTTGGATGTTTTGACTGAAGCTTATGCTGTCCTCAACCCGAAGGGTGAACAAAACAAACCACTGACACAGTGAAAAAAAACAAGTGTTATATGATAAAGCCGATTCATCAAGTCACCCTTTATTATTTGAGATTTTATAACCAGTGTTATGAACTTTTTATACGAAAATGAGGCAAAAGGGTAGTACAAATTGAAAATCAAATTGTAAATTAAGTTAAAATCAAGTTCCTATCTTTTTGTTTGATATGAAAATATTGTATTTTCAAATTAAAAGTATATATATTTTCAAAACATGAGAACCAAACCATGCATATCAATTCTAATCCTATATAAAGCCCGTTTCAAATGCATGAATTAATTGCATATATTTTATGATAAATCTTGCTCGTATATAGCCTTCTCCATTATAGGATTACACACAATTCAGATGCATAACCTAAGCTGCTTATGAAGATCAATGTATATATACATCAACATTAAACACACTTTCTAAATAAAAACGAAGAATAATCATTAATCAAAACTGTCAACAAGGGCAGCAACGTTATTTAGCACGTTGAGGGGCATTAGCGTCTTTTCATTGTTCCTAGAGAACAGTAGGCAAACTTCTCATTTTTAAAAGGTAATAGACTATCTCAATTAAAGACCATTTCAAACGTATAAATCTTAAATAAATTGCAGAAGTTTTTTTATGATAAATCAAACTCATATACAACTTTCTCAATTATAGATACGAAGTATAAAGGATTACACACGTACACGGTAGAGATGAAAATTTGAGTACATAATCTAAGCTAGTCCCTCATGGCCTCATGGAGATCAATATATACGTCAACATTAATTACACTTTTTAAATACTACCTTCATTTCATATTAAATGCAACAAAAGGGTATTTTTTTGTGAGATATAAAAAATTCATTTGTTGCAATTAATATAAAATGGAGGTAGTAAAACCGAAGATATATTTTATTTTTCTTTTCAATAAAACTGTCAATAAGGGCAGCTATGTTATACAGCACGTTGAGGGGCAGTAGCGTCTTTTCATTGTTTTTAGTGAATAGTGGTTAGTTTTCCCTCCGTCCCATAATACTTGACACAATTCTCATTTTTGTCCGTCCCAAAATACTTGACACATTATTAAATATGAAATAAGATCACTAATAAAAAAATATTTTCCTATACTCTCTTTGGGACCACAAATCCCAAAACCAAATTAAATCTTACATTTTCTTTCTCTTCACTACTCCTACCTCCCCCACTTTATCTTTTCTTACAATATAAAAATACAAAAAAGAATCCTTTATATAATAAATAAATGTTTTAAATGGACCCACTTGTAGTTTTCTTATACTACGTGTCTATCTCAACGATCCAAGTATTATGGGACGGAGAGAGCATGTATTACTCCTTTCGTATTACCAATAGATAGGGATGTCAACGGGGCGGGGCGGGTTTTGGCATTCCCAAGATCACCTAGAAGCAGGAGTAGGGTTGTCAGTGGGGCGAGTCAAGTAGGAGACCCGCCCCATCCCCGCCGATGTGTCCCAATTTGGCGGGTGGTGGGGGGGGGGGGTGGATATTAGGTTGTTCCCGCCCCGCCCACCCCACTTCGTACATGCCCCATCCCCACCCCGTACCCACATCTATAAATTTAAAAAAAAAAATTGTTTACATTTATACTTTTTATATTAAAATTATAATGTAAAATAAAGTAGTAAATATAATACATTCTAATATACTTATATTAAAAAATAGTGTAATATTAACAATGAATTTATTTTATTTTATTTTTTTAAATTTTAATCTATGTTATGTAGTATTGTTGTATTTGGAAGGCGGGGATTAGGCGGGTCTTGGCCTCTTGGGTAAGGATTAGGTAGAGGTGGATATCCAATTGAGGGGTGGGGCGGAGATGGTTTTGAAATTGTACCCGCCGGAGCAGGGATGAGGATGAGTATTTGACCCGCCGTGGAATAGGGCTGAGTATGTTAGGCGGGGATGGGGATGGGGATGGGAAAACCAACATTCACCCCGCCCTGCCTCGTTAACATCCCTAACCGAAAGTAGAGTTCTAATCACTTGAAGTATCCCTCACTCTTAACAAATTTAATGAAATTATCATGATTTTTCTAAAGTTTACAACCTACCCACAGTACCCAGAGCTTAAACTACTTTGTACTAGCTATTTATAACATGCAACTCATAAAATTAGAATATTAAATATCATAAAACCCATTCACTAAAACCATCATCTACAATTATACTGTAAATTGTGATTTATGAATGAATTGAAAATATGTTGGAGTACTGGAGTACTACTTTCCTAGCACTAGGCACTAGCTTCTTACGTCCCTAGAACTTCATTTTTTTTTTTATTTCATTTAGACGTAATACACTAATACTGGAGTATAATGTTTTTATTTATTTATTTATAGACTAAGTAGAATTAGAATTAGTTTCTTAATCTAAGTAGAACTAGTTTTCCTATTCTATTTGGGTTACTTGGGGCTAAAGGCTAGGGGCTTGTCCTAGTCCTATTAGACTTAGAATTAGTTAGTTTTTAGTCTATAAATAGTTGTAATTTCATGACTTTGGAGATTTAAATTTTTTTCAGATTATAAAATCAAAGTATTTGTTTGTTTTGCAATCAAGACATTCGTTTCTTAAAGCTGGTGATTAAGTTCTTTAAGCTTTGTTTAAGTTGATTAATTAAGGGGTGGCGTGACCTTTAACTTACTTAATCTACTTGTCTTCTTGTTTAATTCTCCGTGGACGAATCCTATAGAGAATTAGGCTTGAATTATCCTTGTGTGTGTTTAAATCTCTTAAGCATACGCATCAAACTTCCTTACACAAACAAAATTAATGCTTTTAACAGCCTACTACACACAAAAAACAAAAAACAAAAAAATAAAACAAACTTCCTTCCCTGTAGCTTATCCCACACATATATTACACCAATTTGAAATCAACTCTCAACTCAAAATTTCCTAAAAGTAGCAAATAAGTTGCCCACGTTACAAGGCAATCCTTATTTAATTTGTTTCACACATCATAAAGTATCTAAATTACTCCATAGTAGTTATGTTACATATGCATAGAACTAAAAACTCTCAATATTTAATATTACCTCAGTGCTTTTACAAATTTTATCTATTCCGGATATGAAAATTTATATATACAAGTATTTGGCATACCAGTGTTTCAAGGTCAATTACCAATTTACCACCAGCATACCACACATATTGTCAAACAGAATCCAACATTTCAACAGTTATATAGCACAAAGAGCTATACCACACATATTGTCAACACTTCAACAGTTATATAGCACAAAGAGCACACAAGCAAACACAACAGCAACAATATCAAGCTCTCTGCTGCATGACATATACAAAAGACCACAAACCACAATATGACACTTTGTACAAAGGAAAAAGGAGACATAGATCTGACAGCAAAATAAGTATCCAAGTTACAAACCTCATCGCATTCCGAATATCTCTTGAGGTGGATCATACACAGAATGCTCGGGAAAAAGTTCCTCAAAATCCTTCTTAACTTTGTTTCTCAAAAGAGGATGTGGCAAAAGACCTTTCATTAAAATCCTAAATGGCAGTTCTGCTGGAAGTTCTGGAGCCTTCAGCATGTCCTCGTAGATGTTCATAGCATCTGCAGGGGAACCATCTCTTAAGAAGCCTCTGATGACTTCAGTGTATGTTTGAGAATCAGGAAACAACTTCTCGTTTTTCATGTCTTCCCAAAGTGTCGTCACGTCATCCATTCTTTTAGATCTCGCCATTGCAATAATCAAGTCCTTATAAAGATAGGTATCAGGATGATACCAGTCCTGTTTTTGAATTACTCTAAACACCTGATTCAAGAAGATAACCGTTAAGATAGCTATTGGGGAGACAAAGTTCTTTTCAAAAGGGTTCCAATGGCCATTTGTATACATGATTGAGTAGGGCACACAGAATGAAATAAACACTGCTAGTTGTATGGAAAGAGCAAACTTCCTAGAAGGAGAGTAGTCATTTCCCCACATAGACGAGGCGTTTGTAGGAATGGGAATTTGGACGATAGAGACTGGGATACAGAATGGGATTTGTTGCTGGGAATTCATTTAAGGAAAAAAAAAAAAAAAAAAAAAAAAAGATCAATGCGTTGTGTGGTTGTAAGAGGTAAATGTAACTATTTTTAATAAAGAAGGCATATAGCCGTTTCCAAGCTTTATCCCCAAACCCAAGAAACTAATATGGGAGGGGAGTTTCATCCAATTGAAATCAAGTCCCATTCCTACCCTAAACTCCCACATACCTACCACTACAAGAGGGACACAGATTTGCAGAGCATCTGCAAATTTTGTAACATTTATTTGGACTAAGCTTAAAGCAATAAATTAGCATATAGCTGTCAGCATCTTAAATATTATACTTGCAAAACTCTACTTATCTAATATTAGAAATGAAAAGTTCACAAAATGGGAAAAAATCAATTCCCTCATAAACCACTAGATTTTAGTGTCTTGTAATAGCACAAAACTACTCACAATTAAAGCATTGAAATTAACAGAAGTTCAAGGCAGCCATAGAGCACTCAAAAAAAGTTTTGCCCGTACAAAATAACTACTAGGTTTTTTTTTTTTTGGAATAATAGTACTTCAAATTTCAAATATATCAATTCAGGATCTCAAAGAAAGTCAATGATTCTTTATTGAGCTTTGATAAAATTATGCAAAGAAGGAGGAACAACCTGTTTAAAGTCATTTCTTGTTCACTCTTCATAATGTGGTAAAAAGACATTCGAAGAAAAGACTCACACTAAAGTCATCATTATTCATAGCCAAAAGAAAGGTAGGATAAAAAAACTGGGGTCAGGGAAGTCAAGATACTTCTCAAAGTTGCAACAAGAATTTGACAGACAAAGAACGGCCGACTTTATCAGAATGATCATCCGTGCTTCTCAGAGTTGAATAAATTACCAAAGCTAGAAACAGACCCTAGCAAATAGTAATTCTACCAACCAGTTTTCTAACTCAAGTCACCACTTTTGACTTTTAGCTAAACCCACCTGAAATGCTCCACAGGTTCCTTGTGTAAAAGTCACCATATACTTGCTTCGATTCTTAATACAAACAGCAAGTTGACTCTATTATTAACTCGTTACAAGTCAACTTGTTGCAATTATTGATAAATGGAAGAAGTATCAAAAAATGGAGGGAATATAAGATTGCACAATCCAGAAGATTCTAGTCACTAATACTCATTCCATTAATAATTACAATAACTTTTCTCTCATCCCCCAACTACCCCAAACCAATAAACCCATCAGCTTCAGGCAATGGCAGCTTGCCTGCAGCCACCCCAGCCCCTAGGGTTGCTGCCCTTGCCGGCAAGCCAGCTGTTTTAACGCCTAGAAGACGATTATACCCCGCTCAAGAGCCTGTTTGCAGAGGCTTACTCTCCAATTTAGCTCCGATGGGATTGTCTTCTCTGTAAAAGTTAAGTGGTGTTCTTTATTCTGCCTCTTAATGGGTCTTCTTTAAGTAGTATGCGCTAGCTTATCGATATTGATGTTGGGGTGATTTCATTCTCATTTTCTTGTGTTTCGCTAGTATTTTAGTGTATTGTTCAGTATGGTTCAACTGGAGCAGTGTGAGGAGGAATTAAGTTTGGCTTCCATTGTGTGTTATCATCTAGAAATTTGGAAGATGATTACAATGTTGAAGATTATTTGAAAAAACTTCTAGCCTGGATGAAGCTATCCCTTATGCGACTTTCCTCCAAGAAGAGGAGAATTCTCCCTACAAGAGGAATGTAATTGGTACTGTGTTTGTGAAGTATAACAAAGCAATCAAGTGCTTGTGTGTTAGTAACTACAATTTGTGATGATTTTCAGTGCTTGTGAAAATAATCCATTGTTTATGGATTTAGCCATAATATTACATTTTAATTTGGCAGCTTGTGCTATTAAACTAAATGAACTGGGCAAAGCCATTGCCTATTGCTCTATGGTGTTGGGGATTGACAAGAGAAATGTGAAGGCCCTATAAAGAAGAGGAATAGTCTTATTGAAGTCTAGGATGTTTGATAGGGCTTACGAAGACATGGATAAGGCAAGGCTATTGGAACCAAATAACAAAGTTATAGCCAGGGAGTTGTCATCAGTGAAAAGAGCCCTATTACATGAGCCAAAAGTTGGTTTCAGTGATCAAAGTATAAGAAGGAACCCCATACCTTCAGAAGTTCAGGATTGTGAACCGTCAGAGGGGAAGGAATTAAGCTCTAAGACCCAAGACTAGGACTTTGCGGACAAAATCAAGGAAGGGAGCGAAACCTCGTCTAGAAGTGGTAATGAAGGGGATCTTCCCATAGAGGAGAGCGTAGACATTGATAATGTGAAGGAGCCAATATCACGTGCCTTGTCTCACAAAGGCAAACAAATTGGAAGACTACCTTTGTCAACACAAGAAAACCTTCCATGCGTATGAAAATCTTTATCATCCTCATACAAACTCTTTTATGAAGGTTCGTACCTTCCCCAATAAATTGGAAATCTTGATGGAGGCCCCCCGCAATCATGAATTAAGCGGTCTCAAGTTCATCAATCGTCACATCAAGCGAAAGCTCATGTGAGATTGCTCCGATGGAAGCATAGAATGAGAAAAATCTCTAATAAGACAGAGGCCAGCCTAGAAAAAAGCGAAGCAGAGGGAGATCGAAGAGTCCCAGGATGATACGCCACAGGACGCAGCTAGCAAACCTAGTAATGGACGAGACAATATGTTTATTATTGGACAACAAAGAAGAAGGAAATCTGATTGAAATTAAAGAACTCCGCCAACCTTTCATCTAATAAACTATGTCAAGATCATCTTCCAAATATAAGAGTAAGTTTAAAGATAAGTTAGTTGGTGCAGGTTTGTATTGTGCAGGTATGAAGCGAAAGAATATCCCCCCCCCACCACCACCACCACTATCGGTCCTCTCCTACCATCCTCGCAAAAAGTTTGTTAGTAATATGTATATTTGTTTAAGTACTTATGTCTAACAACATTATGTTCCTAGAGTAGTGGTCTTTAGAGCTCAGAATCTAGCTATGTAAGCTAGAAAAAGGATCTAAATAAAATTTTGGTTTTGTTTAGTGGCTGAAAAAAAAAAAAAATCATTCCATTTATATATGATTTGTTTCCCAAACAATGAACAAAGGCCAAAAGCCATATAACTTATAACCGAACGAAACAAAGTGACAAATGAATAATTTGGATAGAACTTTTTAGCACTAGATGTTTTTATATGATTAAATTGTAGCACAAAACATATTTACAAATATAAATCTAAACAAACTTTCATCAGGTCGCATCTCAATTAAAGGATGTCCCAAACTATACAGACCACTATACAACTACACTAAGGCCCTGTTTGGTTTAATGTAAAGTGTTTTAATGGAAAACAATTTTTCCATTTGTTTCCATTTTCCTTTATTTGGTTTGTGAAGAGGTTGGAAAACAATTTTTCCAATGGTGGAAAATTGCATCCTTAATGATGGAAAAAATATTTCTTTACAAAACAAGAGAAACCATATTTTCCTCCTTCCTCGTTGCCTCTTTTTTACTTCCCTCTCATCCATTCTCACATTTCCACTCCTATTTTTTATTTTTCTTGAACTTTTCTAGTATGCAACCAAACAAAAGAAAATTAATTTGCAACTGTACATTTCCTTAAAAATATGTTTTCATGAAAACTAATTCTCATTGAAAATGTTTTACATCAAACCAAACGGGGCCTAAGTTAAAATAGGAAATACAAAATTTCCCACCTCTAGCCATTATTAGAATTTGAAGCAATAATATCATCCTAAGATGCTTGTAAGCAAATTGTATCACGAGTAATTACGATTTTGCAACCCAACTACTATAATGACCCACAACTAAATGATAATAGTTTAAATAATTGCATATAAAAGAATAATTGATTCAAGAATCATGCAAAAATAAAAACACAAACATCAGAATCAAGCGCAAATAACCAGACAAAATTCACAATCATGCGCAAACAAACAATAAAGATCAAGAATTTACACATAAAAATAGAATTCGAAATCGAAAGACAAACCTTGAGGGCCAAAGAAACCTCATCTTGTCGCTGAAGTTCAGAAAGAACAGCAATCATATCCATCTTCAGAAGCCTCAACACATGATTTTTGACAAATTTATCAAGCTTCTCTTCATCATCTTTAAACCTCTTCAAACCCAGAATTACAAAAAGAGCCTCTTTGCCAATTAACTTCTTACCCCTCCAAAGAGGACCTCTTGGTCTACCATCGTGGTATTCTCTCTCCAAAATTAAGGAAAACCCATTTGTTGGTTTTGCTATGTCATTCGAACCCAAGCTCGATAAATTAGGGTTTAACAATGAGGTTAAAGGCTGATTAATGGGAAATGTTTTGTTCAATTGATGAAGAATCAGAGGGGATAAAAATGGAATTTTTGCTCTAGCAAGGATTCGAATCAACATCTAGGATGCACGGAAACGGACACGGACACGGGAAAACGGCAATCCTGAAATAGGGGACACGGGTACGGCGTATAACAAGGCATATAATATATTAAAAAAACGAGAATTTGACAACTAATTCAATAAAACACTAAATAATTAGCCTCAAAACACACAATTTTAATCAAACAAGTAAATGAACAAAGTGTACGGACATAGTCTCATACATATCAAGAAACCATCAAACCAAATACATGTCTTAATAATAGTTTTACAAATCATAAATAAAATAAACATAAGTACTAATAGTTTCATTCTTCACCATCACCAAGTACATCATCAAAAATCATATTTTCCATCTTGGGTTCATCAAGTGAGAGCTCGGCCATCTCTAGAATACCAACCTCTCCTAGGTTGTCATGCTCATCTCCACCCACATCCCACAACTTAGATCTCCCCTTAGTGTATTCTCTACTTCTTCACTTCTCCTAGAAACCCAATACCTCAACAAGTCGACATAGACTACATTGGAGGCAATCCATAAACTACATACACGTTACAGATATGCCCAAACAGAGTCCTCGGCCATGAGTCAGCCAAAATGCACACATCGCACAACCCAGAACATAGTGTAAGCGGCTTCTGTACAACAGAACTTCAAAGCTTACTACTTGGTAGTTTGAACATATCACCCAAAGTACCATTATACCAAAAACAATTTATTGAATTGAATTTCCTTTGATGGGATTTGTAGCAATTGTGCACAAACAGGGTAACAAATTACTGTAAATCTTAAGCCTTCCTCGTAACAATTCCTATACTTCCATTCCAAAGCTACTCCAATACCACGAAGAACAACATATGAAACAAATCAAACAATCACGCCATGGGACTTTACCAAAATCTAAACCATTACACACAAAATCGTAGAATAACCACAACGTAACATAGCATAAGAAGAGATACATAGTGAATAAATCAAACATCTCATCAAGTAATCAACAGAACACGGTGGTGGCTGACGACGGACAAACAAATTGAAGAAGCAATTGATCCAGCACAAACAAATTGAAGAAGCAATTGAATTTCAGAACTTTAATTGAATTTAAAAAAAAAAAAAAAAAAAAAAAAAAAAAAAAAAAAAAAGTAGAGAAGAGAGAACCATACCTGGTGGCTGACGACGGAACGGGCGACAATGAGACCGGTGGAGTGGTGGGTGGTGGCTGAGGACGAGCAGCAAGCCAGCAAGTGAGTAGGCGACAATGAGCGAAGGCTAGCACGAGGCCACGAGCAGCAACTCCAGCAACCCCGTGAGGCCGCGACAGCAACCCTACACAGCAACCCTGACGGCCGGCGAGTGGCGGCGACAGCAAGTCAGCAAGCCGGCGGTGAGACTGACGACGACAGAAGGGTTCAGTTGAGAGGATGAGAGGATTGAGAGTTTGAGAGTATTAAGACTAGAGAGCTGGAAAGAGGCAGAGAGGCAGGCAAAGCATAGGCATTTAGGTATTTCGCGTGTCCACTACCGAACGGCCCGTGTCCAAAAATCAAAAACATAAAAAAAAACCGGACACGGTTTTCTGCGTGTCGGACACGTGTCGCCCCGTGTCCCACTCGTGTCCGTGTCCGACATGCGTGTCGACTCGGATTCTTCAGTTTTCTGGCATGTCCGTGCATCACAGATCAACATTAGTCGGAAATGAAGGAAGACAGAGTTGATAGTGAAGGTGAAAGAGGTGGTGGTGGACACGAATAAGTTTAAATATAAGAGTAAGTTTAAAGATAAGTTAGTTGGTGCAGGTTTGTATTGTGCAGGTATGAAGCGAAAGAATATCCCCCCCCACCACCACCACCACTATCGGTCCTCTCCTACCATCCTCGCAAAAAGTTTGTTAGTAATATGTATATTTGTTTAAGTACTTATGTCTAACAACATTATGTTCCTAGAGTAGTGGTCTTTAGAGCTCAGAATCTAGCTATGTAAGCTAGAAAAAGGATCTAAATAAAATTTTGGTTTTGTTTAGTGGCTGAAAAAAAAAAAATCATTCCATTTATATATGATTTGTTTCCCAAACAATGAACAAAGGCCAAAAGCCATATAACTTATAACCGAACGAAACAAAGTGACAAATGAATAATTTGGATAGAACTTTTTAGCACTAGATGTTTTTATATGATTAAATTGTAGCACAAAACATATTTACAAATATAAATCTAAACAAACTTTCATCAGGTCGCATCTCAATTAAAGGATGTCCCAAACTATACAGACCACTATACAACTACACTAAGGCCCTGTTTGGTTTAATGTAAAGTGTTTTAATGGAAAACAATTTTTCCATTTGTTTCCATTTTCCTTTATTTGGTTTGTGAAGAGGTTGGAAAACAATTTTTCCAATGGTGGAAAATTGCATCCTTAATGATGGAAAAAATATTTCTTTACAAAACAAGAGAAACCATATTTTCCTCCTTCCTCGTTGCCTCTTTTTTACTTCCCTCTCATCCATTCTCACATTTCCACTCCTATTTTTTATTTTTCTTGAACTTTTCTAGTATGCAACCAAACAAAAGAAAATTAATTTGCAACTGTACATTTCCTTAAAAATATGTTTTCATGAAAACTAATTCTCATTGATAACGATGCCCTCTATATGGTGCAAGAAACTCCTCACAATTAGTGTAGTTAGGATCTACCAAAAAGTAACAACCTTGAAATAAAATCATAGAATAGATTGAAGTCATTATTAATTGTATTAAAGAAAATCGTTATATATGGTTAATTTTAATCACATGGTTTACCTTAAGACACCTTTAAACCATTAAGCCTCGAAATTGCATCTCGTAAAACACGACCATCATGTGCAGAGCCTTCCCATCCAGGTAAGACAAAAACAAATTCCATTTTAGGTGTACAAACACCTAAAACATTCATTGCAAGGTTTCCTTTCCTTGTTCGATACCTTTCTCTCTCCTCATTTGGATCATGAACTTCAATAAATGTACCATCTAGGGCTCCTAAGCAATTCTACAATTATAAAGAAAATACACAAGATTATTTACATAGAACGTATGTAGAACATTGCTTTTAATCAATTAAAGAATGAACATTTTTTTTATTATATTTTAATAGTGTTAATATACCTGGAAGCATTTTCATCTACTATCCTCGCAATCCTCTGTAATAGGTGTAGGTTTTTTAAGCAAGTGATCGATGATATAGCTTTAGAACCGCAAGGAGGCAAAGGTTAAATTGTCTACTAACACTTTCTCCACTCCAATAAAAGTAATGCCCTATCGACCTATTCTTTTTATGATGAGATAATGTATACAAAAACATAGCTACAATCTCTTGTAAGCTCATATTTCTAGTCCCTCTCAATCCACCAATATTGCTTATCATCTCACAAAGCACACCAAAAGTATGTCTGTTCATACGCAATTCACTCCTACAAGCAACATCACTATCTCTGATCTAATCAACGAGTTTAATTTAACTAATATATTACGTTTCTAATCTCTAATTCGGTTACGTAACATGAAATACATGAGAATCATGAAATTCCAATAAAGTTACAAGTAGTTCTGTTTGTCGCTTTCTCTTCCTCCTTAACAAGGATAGTCCACATGGCTCCATTTTTGTAAAAACACAACACAAAAAGGATTACCCTACTATACAAATTGATTATTAGTATTTACTCATGTGTTTGCCTATAATATTCTTATTTTATTGTCTAAGTGTCTTTCTGCCTAATATATATACAACCTTTGGTGGGAGTAAAAAGAAAAATGAAAGAGCAGTAGCCAAAGAAAGGCACGCAATCCACACAAAGAATTAAAAAGAAAAGTCAGCATGTAATATCTAGATAACAGAGAATGGAACAGAAAAAGCGAAATCAAAGATAGTTCACAATAGTGGGCCGCAATAGTGAACACTCCATTCCATACATCAGAACTATTTCACAATTAAATGTCGGTAATTTACCAATCTGATATTATTTTAGTTGATAAAAATTCTGCTAAACATATACAATTATTATAATTAAATTCAATAAATTTTACTCGAAAGGTGACTACTTTGATCACAATATATAGCTAACCGGAATAATTATACATTAAATTTCGGGAAAAAGTGAATAAAAAAATTGGGGAAATATCATAAAATAAGAACAAGATTTTAATTTTTATTTAAATTAAATTAAAAAAAGAAGAAGAATTACTTGGAAGAAGGCTGAATTATTGCTGCTAAACAGCTCAAGGATGAACGATGAATTAATACGGCAGCAGAAGTAGGAGATGGACTTTTGCGGTAATTTTCCTTTTCCCCTCACTCTTCTCTCCTTTTATTTGATACCTAAGGAAATGGAATGGCCAAAGTGCCAAACCCACCTCCCCCCCAAGGTTTCTAAACCCCATACCTCATGGGTTTGAGGTATGAGTTTGAAATTCATACTTTTGACAACCAAATATATGATATGGGTTTTAGTCATTCTAAACCTATACTTCATACCTAGAGTGTCAGTGTGTGACCCGAGTTGACTAGTGAAGGGGGCGATTGTGAGCTTGTGATTAGGGTTGTTTGTCGGTCCAAGATCGGACCCGACCGTACTGAAGACCTGGAATGTAAAATTCTAGAACTATTAGTATTAGCTGGTCTATCTACCAATTTAAAGTCCCACGTAAACACGACACCGTTTATAATTGTTTGAGAATCAAAAATTTGTAATATTACAAATTGAGGTATAAATACCACTTTAGAATACAAAAACCCTAATTTTCAATTCATTTCAAAATTGTTGTTTTCACTTTATCTCTCTAACCTCCCACGACTTTCTTGCTCTACAAATATTCATCATCTACCATTTTCACTACGCAAGCTTCTAGATCACATGTATATGGTTTATAAACATCAATATTTGACGGGAAATTGAAGCCAACAACAAATCAATCGGAAAACAACCTTGAATTAGAGGTTATGTACACTTTTCCTTTTTTTTTTTTACAAAAAAAAACAAATTACTCTATGGCACAAATTTGTTCAAACAAGTTGTAGTTTTATGAAGAAATTTTGATGAAATTTACATGCAACAATTTTTTGCTAATTTATCACAAATTTTTAAGAGTAACTTTGGTTAATTTAATTGCATTTTTTTGTTCATCTAATTGCAAATTCGGTTAATGTCTACATCAAGACTTGCAATAATAGTACAACTACAATGGATGAATATAGAGTGTCACAATTAGAAAACTACAATAGATCCACAAGTGTTTTAAATGAAATAAAAAAAATTGATATTTCGGGGTTTTTCGGATGACCCTCGAGAAAGTTACAACACTGAATATGTTCCGATCGGTCCTTACAGTTGCAAATCTCAGTCCTTACACTTGCAAAACTATGAAACTCTAGTTTGACAGAGATTTGCCTCCAACAGTCAAATTAGTACTGAAAGATGAATTTTCAAAGCAATAAATGGGATAGTAATTGGGTACCTATTGCACTTAGGGAACACTAATCATTTGTTCAACTTGTGTTTACTATCATTAGTGATGGGTTTTATAAAGCATGTAAATGCATGGTAATTAGAGCATTAAGCCTAATTACAGTGCTATTTTAACTTCATGGGTGAGAAGTTAGAACGCGCACATTATGGCCCATTCTTTACGAGTGGACTAACCCGGCTACCACATGTCCAAATCTAATTGCCCTAACTAGGCTGAGTTGCTTAAACACGTGTCAGGCTCTCATTGGTCTAACCGGGAGGTTGCTTCTCAAAGAGGGTATGGTGATGCATGTGGCTTCCACATAATCATCTCTGACATATTCAATGGCACAACCAAAACGGTGCTTTTCTGAAAATAGTGACCTCTCGTAATTGTAACTTTCGCCATTTTATCCCTTTAAAAACCCCCTTGGATTGTTTATTTAATAAAGTTGTTGACAATATTTCTAGATCGGCGGCACTTTTAATCTGATACAATCTTTTATTCTACTCTTTATTGATAGTTGTTAGGCTTATTATCCTTGTTTGGTCTTTAGTCGGTTTTGCAAAAGAGGTTGATTAATCGAGGAAAATATTTTATACGACTTTTAGCATGTCGGTTTCCTTGCTTAATCAATCATATCCATAATTGCCCCTAAACCGAATGAAGGCCAAACAAGACTATTTGATCAATATAGCCTCCTAGCTGCATGCTCACTTCAATGTTGCTTATGTTTTAAATATGCTTTCCATGGATACTAATCAACCCATCTTTTTAATTCACTTTGCAATTGGTCAGTTGTAGCCGAGCATGTTCCATGACTGTTTCTGAGTTAATTTGTAATATTTCGTATTTTTAGAGTATTTATACGATACAGGGTTTTCCCGGCCTTTTTGGAGGCCCTGTGCAAATATAGAGTGCCAAAAAAATTGAAAATTATGGATGTGAGTGAGATACGAGATTCGAACCGCTAACTACTGCAATACGTTTGAGATCATTAAACTACTAGGCCACAATTAGCATATATGAACA